TTTGAATGATTCTTGACCTTTTGATCTTGGTGTTGATGGTTTTGAGTCTTTTCCGTTCTGGTTTGATTTTTGAGCATTTTTTGCCAGGAATATCTCGTATAGATTTCTTCACTGGAGCTTTTTCTTCTGTTTCCTCATCTTCAAAATCATCATCATCATCATCATCTTCATCATCATCATCGTCATCATCTTCGTCAGCAGCAAGTTTTACTTTTTTCTGTGGAACATTGCTTCCACCTCCAGGGGCAGATCGCTTTCCAGATATACTTAAAGAGTTTCACGTCCTCTTCCTCTTCTTCTTCTGACTCTGCATCTTCCTCCACAGCTACTAAGTGCTGTCCACTAATATGCACAGGCCCTGAGCCATACTTCAACCTTAAGACCACAAGTGGTGTTATTTCAAAGCCCCTGAGGGAAACCATTGGCTGTACAGACATTTTCAGTGTTGCCAGTGTTACTTTAATTGGACAGCCTTCATAATTCATTGCCTCTGCTTCAACAATGTGCAATTCATCCTTTGCACCAGCCCCTAAACTAACCGTTCTTAAAGATAACTGGTGTTCATTTTCATCATTATCCACTTTAAAATGATAATCTTTGTCGGCCTTTAGTTCACAACCGAAAAGATAGTTCTGGGGCCTCAGGGGGCTTATATCCATGTCCATCGAATCTTCCATGGGGTGGTGGCACACACTTGGGTGGGCGAGAACGCGGATGGAGGTGAACGACTACGGCTACCGAAAACAGCCGCGCAGGACGGAATCACTCCCACTGTTATTATAATTTTGTGCTTTGTACAAAATTATACTTTTCCTAACTATAATGAGTCTGGCTCTGCAAATTATCTGTGGTTCCAAGCAAGGTATTTAACCCCCATGGCACAAATTCCTGATTTGTAAAACCAGGCAATTTTTTTTTTTTGTGGGGGGGATTTTTGCTATAGGGCTTATGTGTTTCCCTGGGAGACAGAGAGACAAAAAGTGAAAAATCACCCCCAGGGAGGATGGCCACACCTCAATCTCTTCTCCATTCTCTTCTGAGGAGTTTGGACAAGCACACACATGGGCTGAGTTTCAAGCTGCTGGGTCCGGGACTCAAACCACATGTGGGAGGTCCAGTGTCTTAACCACTATACTCACCTCCTGGCCCCCAAACCAGGAAATGTTAAGTATCACCTGCTTTATAGGGCTATTAAGGGAATTAAAGAAGAAAGTCTGTGGGAAGACTTAAAACAGCTTTGACATCTGTTTTATCTCTTAGTATCAGCACTTACTGTTTTATTTTTTTTGGAGAAGTTTTTGCTATAGGGTGCATGCGCTTGCCAGAAAGACAGAGAGAGACAGAGACAGAAAGCAAGAAATCACCCCCCAGGGAGGATGGCCACACCGCAATACCTTCTCCATTCTCCTCTCAGGATCTTGGGTGCACACGCACATGCGCCCAGTGTGAGTCTAAGCCACTGGGTCCGGGACTCGAACCATAGTCGACTACATGGGAATCCAGCGACATAGCCATTACTCCAACTGCTGGTCCCCAGCACTTATTGTTTTCTCTGTTCACTCTGTGCTAGGCCCTTAGTTCACATAAACTACTAGACACAGTTCCTGTGAAACTCTCCTATATTTGGGCAGAGGTAGAGATGTGGGTAAACAGTATTTATCCTACAATGTGATACATGCTTTTATTAGTCAGGAACCTAATTCATACCAGCTTAAGCAAAAGGGGTCTTTACTAATTATGTAACTAAAATCGAAAGGTAGATGGCTGGGCCTATGTGTTCAGAAAGCATCATTAGACCTCAGTCACTCTCAACTCCATTTTGTGTGTCGGCTTCATACTCAGGTGAGCTCTTCCTGTGTGCTAGCCCCCTTGACATTTCAGCTTACTCCTACCAGCTCCCTGTCCCAGCAGAAAAGAGAGCCTCTTCTGTCAGCAGAAGTCCTGGGGTTGGCTTCAGTTAGTTCTGATCATGTCCATCCTTGAAGATGGAGAATCCTGAACCTCAAGTACTGAGTTTGGCTAGAGGTTGTTTCCCAAAGGTAACTAGAAGGTTGGATGCATTATTGCTAGGCAGATAACAGCACCATTTCAGGGCTACAAATGAGGTACTCCTTGAATGCAGGTTGGTGGTGGGGGGCTGGGAATGCAGCAGAGAAATAGATGACCCAGGTCATAGACTTTCTAGGCTTCTGGATTTTGCTACCTCTTGATATTAATTCAAGCTTTTCTTATTAAATTCCCACACATGAACCTAGGATTGATCTTCACTAAAAATTTAAAGTGGTATTTGCAAGAACTTTAGTAATAGTTTTAGCATTGTTATTTTAGAATGATGACAATCGTGTTTTTAAAAATTACTCTCAGCTGTGGGACATACATATAATAATTAGTCTGTTTACAAACAACATGATGTTCTTACTCTTTGGAGGGCCACTTGTTGAAGCTGGTTCCATTATATTACACAGAAATTGAAATGACAAATGCTCATCCAATATACTACTTTAGTATTGAATAGATGCCTGCAGCTGGGTACTCAGTAATTAACTAATTTATGACACAGGCTTGATTTTGAAGTGGCTCTTCAAGAGGCTTACAACAGTTAAGAAAAGCCTGTTCTCTTGAAGCTTTATTGGGTTGTCAGGAAAGTCATGACGCATTTTTGTATAGAAAAACAGAAAAATACACCATGACTTTACTGATGACCTAATAGATGCTTGTGGATTTAGAAGCAGGGGGGCTTCTAATATACAAAGAATACAGTATTTGCATCATTTTTCTCTTTATTTAACTATGGCAAATCTTACACAGTATCAAGGAAGGAATGCTTTTGTCTCTAGTGATGCCTCTGAAAACTTACCAAGATTTGCAGAGCTATGACTGACCTGTTTTTAGAAAGCAGAGTTCTTCGGTTGTTTTATGTATCTTTTAAACCTGTGTGTATGTGTAGGTGTGTGTATGGGATGGGGGGCGGGGTTAGCAAGTGGAATGACAGAATCTCTGGAGAAATCTGTGTTGCTTGAAAATTAATCTTAGGGTTCTGATTCTTTACTCCTCACCAAATAACCAAGAGGAAACTGGGATAAATAAAATAGACTTTGGCTTGCTGATCTGGCTGGTAACAAGCCAGACAACTCTGCCCAGGAAAAATGGAGAAATCTAATATGAAAATAATGAAACTATAACTTTTTATTCCCCTTTCTATTAAAATCATAAGGGTAGGATAGAATAAAAAAATAATCTAGGTAAAAAAGGATAAACAAGTACAGGCATTCCTCAATTGAGGACTGAGTTCCATTTTTATTAACAGATTCTTTTTAAACATTTTTAAAAGAATTATTTAATTTAATATTTATTTATTTTAATTTGACCAGAGAGGGACAGAGTGAGAGAGAGCAAGAGAGACGGAAAATGAGAAAGCAAGCCACCAGGTTCAGGACTCGAACCATGGCCAGCCCTGAGGGGCGCCAGCGCCC